ATGATGATGATGATGATGTGATGATGATGATGATGATGATGATGATGATGATGATGATGCTGATGATGATGATGACGATGCTGTTGCTGATAATGATGACGGTGGTGGTGATGAGGAGGAGGACGAGGAGGAGTAGGAGGAGGAGGCTCGAGGAGGAGGAGGAGGAGGAGGAGTAGGAGTAGTAGTAGTAGGAGGAGGAGGAAGAGGAGGGAGAGGGAGTGGTGCAGGGGGTGAGGGAGTGAACGGGGACACGGGAGAGGAGAAGGAGGACGACTAGGAAGGAGATGAGGAAGATCGGGAAGACTGGCGATAATGAGAGACGATGGTGATCACGCGGGCTAGGAGCATGCCTCAGGAGCAGGGGGGGCAGGAGGAGGAGTGGCAGGGTGGAGGAGGGACGCACCCAGCCATCAGGCGCTGGTCTACACGGAGGGCCAGCCAGTCATCGCGGGTGCCCTTCTTCCTCCACCTCTCAATCCCCTCGTCGACGGCAGATCTGCCTCTCGGTCGATCGGCATGCGTTCAATGCGTCCTCGGCTCCTGCTCCTGCACATGGTTTTCCCTTCCCCTCCTTCTCCTCCTCCGCCTCCTTCTCCTCTGCCTCAACTTCGCATGGCCCTCCTCCGCTTCCTCCTCATTGCATTGCTAGCTCACTCCTGCTAATTCCCCTGGCGCGCCATCCTCCGCGTCGTCACCATCGCCCCATCAAGGTACGAAGATCCCCAATTTCGAGGATTATCAGCAGGAGTACACGTCGCGCCCGAACAGAGCGGCGATGCAGGTGCACTGAGGGAAACTATGCGAGTGGGATCAACCATAATTGATACGAGGATGGTGAGGATCCACGAGGAAGGGGATTGAGGAGACGGGTCGAGGATGAGGAAGAACATGACAACAACCAGGGAAGTGAGGATACCGCGCGATCCAGCCGCCGAGGAATAGGACAACAATGACCAGCCCTGCAGGAGAATTGTGGTTAAGGAGGGGGGGAGATGTGACGAGGAGGAGCGAGGAAGGTGGATCGAGGAAGGACGGTGAGAGAGGACGGGGGTGATGGGGCCACTGGGAGGGAGTCCCAGGTGTGGATCCCCATGGCAGAGGCGCTGGATAAGATCACGGACACGCTGCGCATCTCCCAGAAGTGCGCGGAGGCCCGAATGAACAGACGAGGATGATGATAAGGACGGGAGCACGAGGAGGAGAGGTGGAGAAGGGGGATTGTATTGTGTAGGAAAAGTGGGGTGAAGGATGGAGGAGGAACGGGGGGAACGAGGAACGAGGAACGGAGGGGCGACCCTCCCCCTAGAGGCGGCATGGTCATCGCTGTACTGGGCGCCCCTCCGCGTGCACCTGCAGAACGAAGACAAGCGCGGCCGCGTCCCGACGAACAAGGTCATGAAGGCACACCAGTGCCGAGGGGCAACATTAAGGAGGATGAGAGGGAGAGGGAGGGGGAGGAGGAGGAGGAGGAGGAGGAGGAGGAGGACGGAGGGCGGAGGACGAGGAGGAGGATCTCGAGGTGGATGAGGAGGAACACTAGTAAGAGGAGATGGTTTAGAGATGACGGTGACGAAGAGCACTGGAGTGGCGCCTTCGAGGAGGGTAGGATGCGGAGGAGTGGGTAGAAGTATGCACATGTCCACCACCTCTTTCTCCTCTTCATCATGCTCCTCCTCTCCTTTCGTCTCCTCCTCCTCCTCCTCATCATCATCAGCATCATCATCATTATCATCAGCAGCCGCATCATCAGCATCATCGTCGTCGTCATCATCATCAACAGCATCAGCATCAACATCATCAACATCACCATCATCGTCATCATCGTCCTCCTGCTCATCCTCACCGTCCCCTCATCTGCCTCATTCCTCCTCCACCACCACAGTCATCAACAGCGTTCGAGCCCAAGGTATTTGCAAGGACGAGCGATTCGGCGTATCCACGCGCACTACCAGAAGATGAATGGAGCGAGCACCCAGCCATCGAGAGCGGAGATGGAGGCGCCCCTCTCATCCACCGTACCACGCCCCCATCATCCTTCTCCTCCTCACGCCTCTCCAGCACTCTCCTTTTCCTCCGCTTCCTCGTCCTCCTCCTCCTCCTCCTTCTCTTCCTCCTCCTCCTTCTCCTCTTCGTCCACCACCGCCTCCCTCCTCTCTTTCGTCATTATGACCCATCATTCCTCGGTTGCGCCTCGAGTCCCCCCCTGCCTTCCTGAAAAGGCAAGCGCAGACAGGCAGATCACGCCCTACGACAGCGAAGATGAGGAGCAAATTACTGAGGACGGCTTCCGGCAGATGTTGGCACAGGTTTGCCAGGGAGGATAATAACGAAGAGGACGAAGGAGGACGAATGAGGAAGATGGAGGAGAAGGATCGAGAGAGGGAGGAGAAGGAAGAGGAGGAGGAGGTAACAAGGAATATGAGTCAAACCAACATGTACGAGGGAAGGCACAGGAGAGACGAGGGGATGAGGGGCAGGTGAGGGAAGAGGAAGAGCAGGAGGAAGAGGAGGAGAAGGAGGGGCAGGAGGAGGATCGAGGAGGAGAGATGAGGGGAAATACGATGAGGAGACGGAGGATGGTAATGAGGAGGTAAGGAGGAGGACGATCAGGAAAAGGATGACTGGGGAGAGGTGCAGCAGAAGGGCGACTTCGACCAAGACGAAGATCAAGACGAGGCTGCGCAGCAGGAGCAGGTCGAGACGCCAGCGCAGGCGCCTAGGCGTCGAATCCCGTTCATCAAGAGCCCAAGAGCCTACTAGCGTGCAGGCCGACGCCAAGGATCGAGGGAACGAGTGAACCAGAGTTCGAGAGGGAGGAAGGACCAGGAGGAGGAGGAGGACGAGCAGCAGCAGCAGCAGCAAGTGAACGACGAGACAACGCCAAGGCAGATGATGATGATGATGCTGATGATGATGACGTTGATGCTGCTGATGGTGGTGATGATGCTGATGAGGGTGATGAGGATGATGGTGATGATGTTAATGACGGTCATGATGATGATGACGATGATGATGATGATGCTGCTGATGCTGCTGATGATGATGACGATGAGGGAGACAACGATAGGGGGCACCCTCCAGGCGAGGAGGCAAGGGATGAGAAGGAGGACGGCGATCGGTACAAGGAAAGGGATTGCAAGGTAAGGAATGATGAGGAAGGAGGAGGAGGAGGAGGAAGAGGATGAGGATGATGATGAGGAGGAGGAGGAAGAAGAGGAGGAGGAGGAGGAGACAGAGAATGAGGACGGAACCAGAGAAAGGAACTCAAAAATCACGTAACCGATGAGGTGGATGCGGAGGAACGGGACGGCACGAGGAGGAGGGCGAGGAGGATCTCGAAGGAAGTCGCGGATCAAGACGAAGACCAAGAAGAAGAAGACGCAGCAGGAGCCGAGAGAGATGGTGGCCATCAAAGACGAGCCAGTGTTGGCGCTGCCCATGATCAAGCGCCCAGCAGCAGCAGCAGCAGCAGCAGCAGCACCAGCAGGCGGCACGCCCATGAAGCGTATGAAGCGCCCAGCAGCAGCCCCGAAGGCTTCCTCATCCTCCTCGCCCTCCTCGTCCTTCTCTCCCCCTCGATCTCTCACTTCCACGGCTACACTCAATCCCTCATCCATGTGTGCAGCTCCATTACATTGTACTAGTTCCTATACGTACGCACACGCACACATTCACGCATACACGCATGTACACATGCCTACCTACCTACCTAATTAGCTACCTATCTGCATACATACATACATACATACATACATACATACGTACATACATACATACATACATACATACATGCATACATGCATGCATGCATGCATGTATGCATGCATGCATGCATACATACATACATACATGCATGCATGCATGCATGCATGCATGCATGCATATATACATACACATATACATACATACATACACACATACATACATACATACATACAGACAGACAGACAGACAGACAGATAGACAGACAGGCAGGCAGACAGACAGACAGACATGTATACCTGCACACAATGTGCACATACATGCACATGCATACGTACATGCATACATGTATACAACCAGGCGGACATACATACACACATACATACAGGCATGCACATGTCAATACGTATACACAACTACATGCATACATACATACATACATACGTACATACATGTATACATGTATACATGCATGCATGCATGCATGCATGCATACCCTCATACACACATGCATACATACATACATGCATGCATGCATACATATATACATACATACATAGGTACATACATACATACATGCATACAGACAGACAGACATACATGCATGCACGCGTGCATGTGCAAACGCCTGTGTATACACATGCATGTATACATACACACACATGCAAACACACACGCGCACGGACATACACACAGGCCTGGTTGTATGTGTGTATGCGTGTATATATACAATCATGCATACAGACATACATGCACGAATATATGTATGCTTGCATGTACACATCCAGACATCGAGTCCAGTCATGCAGGCGTGCATAGTCACGTATAGGTAAGTTGATGCATGCGCCATACAAACCTACATGCATGCATGCATGCATGCATGCATGCACATGTGTACATGTGCAGACTGCGTGTGCACGTGCACGCAGACATATACATCCATGCATGCATACATGCGTACAGATCTGGCATGCATATGCACACATGTACATAACATCGATTTCCCCATGTAGGCAGAGCTGGTGCAGCCAGTCGAGGAGCTCGAGGTGGTCGAGGAGCTCGAGGGCGCCGATGAGGTCGAGGTGGTCGAGGAGCTCGAGGGCGCCGATGAGGTCGAGCTGGCCGAGACCCAGCTCAGTGAGGGCGCCGAGGGCGCCGATGAGGTCGAGCTGGCCGAGACCCAGCTCATCGAGGGCGCCGAGGTCGAGCTGGCCGAGACCCAGCTCGTCGAGGAGGAGATCGAGGGCGCCCAGGTCCAGGAGGAGATCGAGGGCGCCGAGGTCCAGGAGGAGATCGAGGGCGCCCTGCCAGAAGGTACCATGGCTCGAAGGATCGAGGAATGGGAGGCCCGCTTGAAACGTTGATTCGAGATCCTCCTCCCCCCCCTCCTCCTCCTTCTCCTCCGCCTTCTCCTCCGCCTTCTCCTCCTCCTCCTCCGCCTCCTCCTCCTCCCACTCCTCATTCTCCTCCTCCTCCTCCTCCCACTCCTCTTCCGCCTCCTCCTCCTTCTTATCATCAGCATCCTCATCATCATCCTCATCACCATCACCATTGTCATCCTTGTCATCAACATCATCAGCACCAGCATCAACATCAACATCAATGTAATCAACATCACCATCACCATCATCACAAACATCACCATCCGTCCCTCATTCACCATATTGCTACGTCGGGCCCAAGTCGGCTCAAGACTGTTCGGGAATGCCGAGATCGCCTCAAGACTGCCAAGGAGGCTCCTTAAGGCCCACGGGAGGAGGAGGCAGGAGGGACAGGGAGGAACGATCAGCCAGCGCAGGCATTGTGAGGATCCAGGTCGGCGACGAGCTCTACGTCATCAAGCTGAAGAGGATCACCCTGCTCCTTCTCCTCTTCTCCCTCCTCCTCCTCCGCCTCCTTCCCTCCGCCTCATTCTCCTCTTCCACATCCTCATCCTCCTCCTCCTCTTCCCCATCGAGATTGTCGTTCTCCACAGTTTACTTCCCCACTCTCGAGGTCCATGCACTTGTCCTCGATGACAGGGGGAGTGGACGTCGAGGGTGGAGAAGGCAGTTGGGATCTACCCTACTTTCACCACCATGCCCGCGCTTCTGCGGGCTTGGGGATGAAGGAGGGCAGAATTCGCAGAGGAGGGCTGCGGAGAAGATCAGCACCATCGTCTACAGGAACATTAACGTGACGAATGGCTGGCCGCAGCTGGTGCAGTGCGCTGACAAGACGTGGGGCCACATCGTAGGCGACGCTGCCAAGGAGCTGAGCGAGACCTGTATGAAGGACACCAGGGGAAGGAGGAGGACGAGGAGAGCTGATCGAGCGGTTCCAGGGTGGAGGTGGGGAGGGAGGAGGAAGGAACAAGGAGGATGACGATCAAGAGGTCGACGCAGAGGCGAGCTCGAGGACGATGAATATGTCAGGCCTTCCTCCCTCTTCTGGGCCCGTGGCTATACACCCTTGTTCCCTCCCACTCCTGCAGCCCTTAGTCCTCCCATGGTCCACCGTCCTCATCCCTCGTGCAGTTCTAACTACCGTCTCCCATCGTCAATGTCATCACCCTCCTCCCCGCATGGCCCCGAAGAACGTCATGCAGAAGATTATCGAGGAGCCTACTGTTACCAAGGCGGACGTGAGCATGTACCGTAACAAAGTCGTGAACGAGCTGCGCAGTGGCTCCTAGGTGAGACCCTGGGCCTAAGAGGACGATCCAGAGGAATGCCAGCAGGAGGAGGGAGGAGGAAGACAAGTACAAGGAAGATAGCGCAGGATGGGGTTGGGAAGGACGGGCTCGGAGGAGGGTGGAGGGGAAGAAACACGTATAAGGATGATCAGGGGCACTGAATTTCAAAATCTACACGTTTGAAGCATCTCCCTGTGGTGCCAGGGTCGCTTGGGCATATCGGTGCCCACGCGACCCTGACATCACCAAGCAACGAATGGTCTACATCGATCCGCATCCTTCTGCTCGCATCTGCTGCTGATCATGATGCTCCAGCCGTCCTTACTCCTGCAACCCTTACCTTCCTGGGCCCCCAGCTGACGGAGTTTAGGTGCACATCTGCCATGTTTATCATCATGCCCCCTTCCCAGACAAGGTGACGACACATCGAGAAGAATACCTGCTACGTGTGGGCCGTGACATGGCCCAGGCCAAGATCGGGCATCCCCTCGATCCCCAGTCCTTTGATATATATATATATGTGTGTGTAAACATATACACGTTTAGTTTCCTCAGTCATCTTCGAGCGCCTTCTCATCGACGTGCGCCTCCCACTCCTTGTATACCTCCTCGCTCGTCCCGCCCCTCCGCCCTCCCTCGATATACACTCCCTCCCCCTGCTAGATCCATCCCTGCTCTGGTCCTCCTTCCTACCCTCACACATCCATCCTCTACACCTCTTCCTTCCTATACCCTCACTCATACCTCAATCGTGCCCTGGACAGGCGACGTATCTACTACTGGTGGTGACGTACTACTGGTGGAGCTGAGCGTCCCCGCGGCTCCGTATAGCCCCCTTCATTTTGGAGGGGGAGAGGAGCTATGAGAGAGAGAGAGAGGGAGGGAGCGAGAGAGAGAGCGAGAAAGAGAGCTCTCTCGAGATCGAGAGACCGCATGCGCATTCTTTTGTACGCGCGCTGACGGACCAGCTCGAGCGCTGGCAAGATCAAGCGCGGGCCGCGAGGCACAATAGTTCCCCGCCCTCCCCTCGAGTCCAGGAGATTTCAGCTCGAGAACGCTCGTTCGATAGAACGATGTCCAACGCCCCCTCCCCCATGCCCCAACCCTCCTACCAGCCGCCCTCCCTCGAGCGTCCCTTCCCCCCTCACGTCGAAGCTCTCCCCCTCACTGCCCCTCGATTTGCGCCCTCCTGAGAGGTCCCCCTGCAGAATGATTTCAGAATGCATGTGCCATGGGCGCCAAACGGTTCGTGCAAGGATGGTTCAGGCGTCGAGCCTCTGAGGATTATTCGATCCGGCCTCGCATGCGCAGCGAGATCCTGGAGTGATGGTTGTATGTGTGTATGTATGTGTGTATGTATGTATGTATGTATGCATGTATGTATGTATGTATGGCTGGACGTATGGATGGATGGATGGATGGATGGACGGATGGATGTATGTAGGTGTGTATATGTATGCATGCATGCATGCATGCATGCATGCATGCATGTATGTATGTATGTATGTATGTATGTGTGTATTTGTGTATGTATGTATGTGTGTATGTATGTATGTATGTATGTATGTATGTATGTATGTATGTATGTATGTATGTATGTATGTATATTTGTATGTATGTATGTATGTATGTATGTATGTATGTATGTATGTATGTGTGTGTATGTATGTATGTATGTATGTATGTATCTATGTATGTATGTATGTTTAGTTGTATGTATGTATGTATGTATGTATGTTTGTATGTATGTATGTATGCATCAATGTATGTGTATGTATGTATGTATGTACGTACATGTGTATGTGTATGTGACTGTGAATGTGAATGTATATGTACATGCATATGTGTATGCACACGTATAAATTTAGATGTATGTATATTTGGAGATACATTTGTATTTGTGCATGTAAATGTATGTATCAATATATGTGTTTGGTTATGTATATGTATATGTATATACATGTATGCAGAGGTGTATGTGTATGTATGTATGTCTGTATGTATGTATGTATTTATGTTCAGGATGAGTCAGGGGTCGATCGAACGGACAAGGAGGTGGTGTACAGGACCACTCGGACGATTGTGGCCTGAGCTTTGCGATCGGTGCATGGTCGCTCCTTGCGCGCAGTTCTGGGATCGAACCAGTTAGGATTCCAGCCGCGCTTGGCCAGAGACTGGGAGCACTCCGACTGGTGACATGGGGCTGGGGATTTGCTTGGTTGCATCGCCATGTGTTTAGATGCTTACTGCGTTCGGAAGTGGACTGATGTGGCAGTGAATGATGAGCAGGTTGCATGAGCCATAGAAGCCACCATCACGACCACAAGCACCAGCCACACGACACCACCCACCCAACTCGTCCACCGAACCGTCGACCCAACCCAACCACCACCACCACTACCACAACCCGAGTACAGAACAACCACCACTGCAGAACAGCCGAACCCACATAATTCACGAGCTCACACCCACCTCGAACACACGTGAAATTGACGCATGCGATGCCCAACATGTGATCGGCAACCCCACAACCCAAGCAATATTGCACAAACGAACCAACAACCCAGCACACTGCTAGCAACAAACCCTACAATATGAAATCCCTGCCTGTATAGCGCACGCCCATGTCTTTAATATTTTCCGCGTACTGAAGTCAGAGTATGTGGCTTCAGTACGCTGCTGCTCGAGGGTGAAGAACATAAGGCCCAATCTGAACACAAATCGCACACACACACACATCACCACATGATGTATGCACGCGTGCCCGCACGCGCGCTTTCCCCCCTCCCCCCTGCCCCCCGCCGCCAGGTGTACATGATTGTGCTGGGCTTCGGAGAGGACCGCAGCATACATGCATCGATCGACCTGCGGATTTCCAGCCGCGCTTCGATCGACCACTGCGTTCGGAAGTGGACATTTTGGGGTGTGCGTGATGGTTGGGGCAAGGGGATTATACGTCGGGCTGAATCAAGCGCTCGCACGGCTCGATCGCTGAGGATTTCCCAGCTGCGCTCGATCATAGCTGCGTTCGGAAGCGGTCTGGAGGTTCGGTGGCGGCGGGGTGATCATCGGGCGGGCGTGCGTTGGAGGGCGTCGGGGGTTCGGCGGCTGCGGATTGACGGGGGTTCGGCTTAAGGTGCGTTGGCGGGTGCGTCGACGGTGGAAAGACGCGGGTACGTTCCGGTCGTCGGGCCCACGTGGTGGTTTCATGTTTTTTCATGTTTTTTTCATGTTTTTTCATGTTTTTTCAATGTCATGTTTTTTCATGTTGTATCATGTTGTTTCATGTTTTCTATTTTTTTTTTCATGTTTTTTCGCCGTCATGTTTTTTCATGTGTTTTCATGTTTTTTCATGTGTTTCATGTTGTGTCATGTTGTTTCATGTTTTTTTCATGTTGTTTCATGTTGTTTCATGTTTTCATGTTTTTTCATGTTTTTTTTCATGTTGTTTCATGTTTTTTTCAGTGTCATGTTTTTTCATGTTTTTTCATGTTTTTTCATGTTTCCATGTGTTTTCATGTTTTTTCATGTTTTTTCATGTTGTTTCATTGTCATGTTTTTTCATGTTGTTTCACGTGTTTCATGTTTTTCATGCTTTTTCATGTTTTTTCAATTTTCACGTTTGTTCATGTTTTTTCATGTTTTTTCATGTGTTTCATGTTTTTTCATGGTTTCGTCATGTTTTTTCATGTTTTTTCAATGTTCATGTTTTTTCATTTTTTCATGTTTTCTCATGTGTTTTCATGTTTTTTTCATGTTTTTTCATGTTTTTTTCATGTTGTTTCATGATCATGTGTTTTCATGTTTTTTCATGTTTTTTCATGTGTTTCATGTTTTTTCATGTTTGTTTCATGTTTTTTCATGTTTTTTTCATGATCATGTGTTTTCATGTTTTTTCATGTTTTTTCATGTGTTTCATGTTTTTTCACGTTTGTTTCATGTTTTTTTCATGTTTTCTCATGATCATGTGTTTTCATGTTTTTTCATGTTTTTTCATGTGTTTCATGTTTTTTCATGTTTTCTTCATGTTTTTTCATGTTTTTTCAATTCCTGCGTTTCACGTTTGTTCATGTTTTTTCATGTTTTTTCATGTGTTTCATGTTTTTTCATGTTTTCTTCATGTTTTTTCATGTTTTTTCCTTCGCGCGCGCGCGTGCCCCATCAGCTCCCCGCCCCCGCGTGGCCGCCCTGGCAGCACCACAGATCGTCCAAGGTCCCCGCACACACCGCCCCCAGCCCCCACGATTGCACCCCATCAACCCAACTGCCTGCGCCAGCCTTGCAATTACCACGCGACACACCAACCACCACCACCGCCAACACCTACAAGCACCATCACCACGTCGCCACCACCGCCACCACAACCACCACCGCACCCACCACCACCATCGTACGACCCACCACCACCACGCGCACGTACGGTGGTACCATATATATGTATGCACTGCCGCTTCGAACCAGCGCGGCCCGCGCATTTGGGCAACAGGTGATCCGCCGCGCCAGCTGGCGCGCCATGCCCCCGAAGCGCAAGAATGCTGACCAGAAGGCCTCCTGTCCAGAACTGCCCCGTTCGAGTCCGGATGGGTCCTCGATCACCCCCCATGTGCGCGCGTCGACTTCGGTACGCGTGCAACTCGGGTTGCACGCGTGCCGAAGTCGGGCGACGAAATCTATACATATACTGGTACCCTGGTCAGGCCCATTCTGGACCCAGGATATATGCAGTGTATATATACATATATAAATGGCACGCCATGTCCAGGGAACAGTGGATATGTATAGATTTCGTCTCCCTGAGCTCGGGAGCTAGAGGACCCAGGAGGCGATGAGGATGCTTGCACCGCGCCCTATCGGAGGCGAAGGCGGCGGCGGCGGCGCCGAACAAGGACAAGCTGAAGCGGGCCAGGGAGGCGAACACTGAGCACGAAAATGCGCTGCAGCGTTTACGGCGCCCTGTGCTTTAATGACTTATGAGCAGGTGGGAAGGAGGAATAGGTGGGAACATGTGGGAAGGAAAGGAGAAGGTGGGAATGAAGGGAACATGTGGCGGGAAGGAGGAATGTTGTACTTGTTCTGAGCAGGTGGGAAAGGAGGGATGAGGCAACGGAGCGAATGAGGAGGCGAGGAAAGGATGACAAACCAGGTTGAAGAAAAGGAGAGGATGAATTGAGGAATGCTGATGACATGAGGATCGAAGGAGGAGTGATGGACATTCGAGGGACGAGGACCGAGGAGAAGAATGGAGGGATGAGGATGAGGAAAGAAATGAGGGGATGAGGATCGAGGAGAAGAAGGGGGGATGAGGATCGTGGGGAGGGGTGAGGAAGGAAGGAAGGAGGAGATCACCACCCCAGGTACCACGCCAAGAAGACGAAGAAGGAGCTCTACGACGAGTTCAAGAGGCTGAGCCAGGATAAGAAAGACCACTGGCTGCGCC